GTTGAAAACATTCTTTTATTTTTTTTAAAGGTTACTTTATTGGGGGCTCTTACAGCTCTTATAACATTCCATACATCAATTGTATGAAGCCTATTTGTATATATGCTGCCATCATCATTTTCTAAACATTTACTTTCTATTTAAGCCCTTGGTATCAGCTCCCCTTTCCTCCACCCTTCCCCCACCCTTCCATCCTCATGAACCCTTGATAAATTATTATGATTTTTATATCTTACACAGACTGCTGTCTCCCTTCACTCATGTTTCTGTTGTTCGCCCCCCCTCAGGGGCTGGGGCAGGGGGTGGGGAAGGTTATCCATCATTGCCGTCAGTTCCTCCTTTCCTCCCACCTTCTTCCTACCCTCTGGGTATCACTACTCCCATTTCTGTTCCTGAGGGGTTTATCTGACCTGGATTCTGTGTGTCGTGAGCTCTTATCTGCTCCAGTATACATGCTCCCATCTAGCCAGAGCTGAAAGGTAGGACTGGGGTCATGATAGTGGGGGGTGACATTTCACCTTTTTTGAAATGAGAAAACCACTCATACACTTGAGGAGTTTTTCCGCATAACACTGTCCTTGTAAGCTGTGTTCAGCATCACAACAGTTTCTGTGGCATTTTTCTCAAGCAGGAAACAAAATCTCACAGCTGTACACTTTTGTCCTAAATCGGCCATCACAAAACACGAGGTTTGAGTGAAACTTCTTTTATGAAAAAATTCACTGTGACCAGAGAGAGCTTTCCCAGGTGACACCACTGGGTAGACTAACTCTGAGTGAGTTGCTGGATGCTTGCCTAGCAGGACAAATGCATACTAGGAAAGCTCCGCCTAGCAGAGCTTTTCCTGTTTTTGTTTTGGGTAGCCCCTTGTCTATATGTATCTGTCTTTCCCTGCCTCCATCATTTTGCCAATGCTTCTCTTGTATATTCCCTTCACCCAAGTTACTATGTGGCTCCTCTCTAGCCAAGGATTTCCACTCCCATTCCCTACCATCCCCGGTAATCATCAAACACTATTTCTTTTACTGTGGAAACCATTTCTTCTTCTTCTTTTTAAAAAAATAACAGTGATATACACTTTTTGTTCTTTTGTGATTACCAATTTTACTCAGCATAATGTCTTTGAGGTTCACCCATATTATGGGGCGTTTTGCAGACTCTTTGTTATTCTTTAATGTTCCTTTGTATTCCATGGAGTATATGTACCAAAGTTTATTTATCTATCCATCCGCTGATGGGTACTTAAGTTGTTTTAATATTTTGTTATGTGAATAGTGCTGACTATAGATGTGCATATATCTATTTGTATCATAGCTCTTATTTCTCTAGGATATAATATATATCACGTGGAAAAGTTGCCGAGTCACATGGTATTTCTAGAGTTTCTTTTGAGGTGGATTCTATGTAGGGTTCTCTTGGCTTCTTGAATAGTTATTCTCTCCTTTGTGATGTTGGGGTAATTTTCTTTCATAAATTCTTGCACTATTTTCTCTGAAGATTTTTGTTTTGTTTCTTATTATGCTGGCATCCTGATGAAGCACAAGGCTGTTTCTCTTGATAGTGTTTTAGATCATTCTGAGGCTTTCATCAGATCCCTTCATGCTTTTATTGATTGTTTCTCTTGTCAGCTGTCATTAAAGTGGTTGCTTTTAAGCTAATTGATTCAATTTTACTTTTCTTCTATACTCAGGTTTTGTTTTTTGTTTTTTTACCATATCACTTAACTGTTATTGCATTGTTTATATTTTGGATTCCTTTAAAGGACTTTAGTTTTTCAATTTCTCCCATTGTTGTCATGAGTAGTCTCCACATTTCTTCTGAATTAAATTTCTTATAGTCTTGGGGCCTCTTTTTCAGAGTACTACACTGGGTTATGGTACCACATAGTAGAGTGTATGATGCAACAAAAGGAGATGGAAAGAATATACAGAGTCACTCTGTCATAAGGAACTTGTTAACATTCAGCCA